TTAGTCTAACGGCAAGGGGGCTCTAATCCGTGATCCATGTATCACTTAGAATATTTTACGTCAGAATTGTCACCGATCCTAGCCGGGATCAGAATTCGTATCGAACATCCAACACTGGGATTCAAACCTCGTTCACCTCACTGGGGGGCTAGCTCTCTATTTCCTAAGCTCCCGCGCGTCTTGCTCACTTTAAAATTTCATTCATTATTTATCGCCTACTATTTGATTCCTATAAATAGATTCCTATAAATATAAAAATATACCCTATAAATAGATTCCTATAAATGATTCCTACTATTTGATTTCTATAAATTCCTATAATGTTCTGCAAAGACCACCCTACTATATATTTTTAATGTTTCCGTCAAAAAGTGCATGATTAGAGATTGTAAATAATTATTTATGAGAGGAAACAAGCTATAGGAATCACTAGTAAGGAAGAATGGGAGTAACTAATACTTGAAAAGTACCAAGTTTTCATCATCTGACCACTTGATGAAACATGTCTAATAGTCACATGTCAATGATTGTTACAGTCTCACTTTCCTCAATAATGATCCGATTCGTTAGATTTCGACAGCGTGTTTATTTTTACTTCGCCTAAATATCAATTTGCCGTCCCTAATGTGCACAGATTTTTAACCTATTATTTGATTCTGCAAAAATATATACATATATGTGAAGATTAGAGAAACAATTATGCGTCTATCACTGAGCATATTTTACGTCATCACTGTGGTCGAGCCTGGTGCAGAATTCGCCTCGACCAGCCATTGCTGGGATTCGAATGCGTTCACCTCATTGGGAGGCAAGCACTCATATATTTTAAATATATGAGTGCTCACAATAATTTAAATGGCATTTTTGAGTATCCAGAGTGTAAAAGGTTAAAATAAACTAGTAAATTTTAAAGATACGCTTTAAAAAAAAAAAGACCTTGAAAAGCTTTTGATTGCAAGTTACTGTTTATTAAATAATTTTCCGATTCTTGTTAGAATGACTTCATTGTTGAGATTTTTTTTCTTGATTTTTCTGTAGATTAAAAGTCCTTCGAACTCATTCTTTATCATCGTTCTTTGCTTCTTTTTTTGTTTACTCCTTTAACTTTAAATCTTATCATAAACTATCGTGATCTTCATCATCAAACGTAAACATAAATAAAAAAAAAACGAAGTTTCTAACTTTCGTACACAATAAATTTTATTTATTTTCTTGTAGGGTATGAGTTTATTCAGGTCAAAGTCAGATTTACTTCACATTTTTCGATTTGATTGAAATTTTCATATGTTGTAGTTGAAATTCTCCTGAACAAAAGTCCTCATGGGGGCCCAATGCTAAAAAATGAACAAATTTTGAAATACAGAGTGTTAAGCACGTAGGTTCTAAGAGTCATTTCTGTATATTCACACAGACCTAAAGGTCGATGTTCAAAACTCAGTATCTCAAAATCTGTTCATTTTTTTAGTCCTTGAGAATTTTTGATCAAGAGGGTTTCAACTACTACACATGAAAATTTTATCCAAAACGACCGAGTCCTTCCTTTTTCATAGCTTTCACTTGTTGACGTATGCCTGTTTTAGGCTGAGGGGTGAGATTGTTCGTGCTTTCCAGTGGCGCCATCTATGGTTCGACTTCTGCCACACCCATACGTCACACCCGTTTACAGGACGGACTCATTCATTCATCCACAGATCGTAATTTTTGACCTGAATCAGAGAACGATCGATATCCAATTCAATACCCCCAGAGGTATTGATTTGTTATGGAAACATGGAGGACTTTGTGACTCGACAGATTTAACGTGCATCAGTCACCATTTACTACACGGGGAGTCTTCGACCTGCGGGGTTCGAACCCACGAACTCTCGGACATGGGCCCAGGGCCCTACCGATGAGGCTACCCCAGCTTTCACTTAAAAAATCCTAAACATTAGGACATAGCTCAAATCTCAGCGCGCTGCAGCGAAGCGCCATTAACTGATTCGTTGGATTTTTGAGACATGTAATGGGGGAATGTGTAAAGTGGGAGTAGAATTGGGGGGAGAGGGGGTGCCAAGCAGCAAATAGTAAAGTCATGAGTGGGAAACTAATCGGTTGAACATGTTATAAAATCGATAGGAAATTAAACATAACTGAGATTTAACTAGATTAGAATTTAATAATATTTACTGGGGTCAAAATAATATTAACATTTACGCAGGTGCATACCTGCCAACTTTTACTCTTTCCGAGAAGGGATTTTCAGAGTGGTTGTAAAACAATAAACGAAAAACAATCTGTCTCAAAAATATATTTACAATTTGATCCCGTTGAAATTCGCTTGCGGAAAGATTATTATGCTTTCATATATTTATTGTAATTATTTATATGTAGTGGTGGTCAAACTCACTTATAATTATCATTATAATTCAAAAAGTTAATTGGATTAACCTGAGTATTGCTACCACTTGAAATATGAAAATAAAATCTTCCGGAAGAGTTGGCAGGTATGCAGGTGTAATAGAATAAAAAAGAATAATGGAGAAAATACATACAACTATTAACATATATTTACACGGGATTGACAAAAATGTGTCAACGACAAAGAAAAGATTATATAAGCGATAGATAGTCCGGCAACTAATCTTGTCTGTGACTCTGTTGTAGTAATGACCCAGGCGTCCTTTTAAATTGAAAATCCTAAACATCGCGTTTTGCGACTAGGTATATTTATTGAATAAATACAGTGGAGAGAATAAAAATGTATTAAAATACATTTTACTGTCTTAGCTATCACTTTTTTTTTAATGTTTTAAGGAACTGCAAGGGCTTTCGAAGCCAAAATATACATTTCATTTTGAGAAACGATTGAGCCAATCCCATTAAGTACCAACAATCCCGCAAAGTCTTTTAGAAAAAGGTTAAGATTATATCTCCATTATTCTTAAAATTCATGTTAGAATAGCAAGACAGTCGTGTTCATATTAACATTATAAATATGTAAATTTTGATCCAAAACTGAAGTGATAGCCAACGCTTCGTGTTAGTCTAAGCATGAAAGTCCTACCACTTATCCCCAAAAAGTGCTTTTTGCGTCAAAATAAAATGTTGCATTTTTGCAACAGTAGTTTTAAATGAATTAAAATGTGTTTCTTTTGCAACGCTTTTTAATTAAATGCACCAATACTGAGCATTTTTATGACGCAAAAATAAATTTTTTACGGCCTTTTAAATATATAAATACGGGAGAACGTTGCTTGACTGAGGTAAATATTAGGTCTGCCCGCTTAAAGAGACGTGTGTAATGGAGCTTTCGCGGACAGAACTTTCAGATAGACATAATATCACGACTTTCCTAGAACAACAGCATTATACCAGATATGCTCAAAGGAGTTAATCTTTATTTTTATATTAGATATTAATTAAGAATTCTGATAAAGACGTGTTTTGCTTAATCTAATAACGTAAAGCTTCCGTTATTGGAAACACATAAGTATATTAGCAGAGAACCACCAATTTTACGTCTAGAATACGCATATTTCACATTTAAATTTTAGTAAGTATTCGTAAAATTTACGTAACACTGACACTTTGAATTAACTAAAGAACGTAAAATGATACGTAAATAAATTCGTTTTTTTAGAATATTTTACCAACCACTTTATAGTAGGTAAGAATAAGTATACATTATGTTTACATGTTATTTACGTCAGCAGAAAGCTCGGGGGGAAACGAGGCAGTCTGCCACGAAAACTTCTTCTTTCTCTTAAATTTGTTGTCCCGCAGTGGACTGATCGTTAAGATACGGTTCCCAGCAGATCACCGAAGTCAAGAATCACTGACTGCGGTCAGTGTGCGGGTGGGTGACCACTTCGATCAGTCTGCGTAGGGACCGAGGGTGTGCGGTATTGGTCCTCGCTAAACTGTTCTACCGTAAAGTGCTCGACTCGCGTGCAGATCGTCGGGCTACCGAAGGGGGGGGGGGTGCCATCCCCTCTGCAGAGGATCAAAATTGTGATGCATGTCTTCGGATCCTCCTCAGGGATGTTTCCCAGACCGTCGCCAATAGCTCATTGTGCAGCTCTAGTGCGACGTAAATGAACAAATCAATCAATGAACTCTTAAATTTGTTTGTTTAATCCCGCTACTTCATTTTAATTTTCTCTCAGTAAATGTTACTGAACCCCAACTTTCACCTTTCAGTTGCGCTTCGGCGATTTATTATTTATTCCCACTCAGATGAATTAGTTAGAGCCCCTAGCGGGGCTGATGCTAAGATAACCACCACATATGAGTATGAGATGAGTACGTCAACAGAGTAAATGGCTCTAAGGCCGCAGACGCCCAGTTCCACTACAACGAACGAACGAACGTCAAAATTTATGTAAGTTGAAACATCAAATTATGCAAAAAAGTGGTTATCCAAAAAGCAGAAAATTTGAGTAAATAAATTCGAACCGAAATTTAACTGGTAAATTTGTTTCGTCAATAATACGTAAAATACCTACAATCATTTTTACTAAATTTAAATAATAAATATTCTTTCGTAAAATATACGAAAGCAATCTTACCGAAGGGTAGCTGGTAAAATCCACTCCGTTAATTTAACGTAAAATTTACCAAAGCTTTCTTACCAAATATCTCAATGGTAATATCATTCCGTCAATAAAAATTTACGTATAAAACGTATTGATTTTACCAATTTCCCAAAAAATTACGTTTAATTTACGTATCATGCTACATGTGTAGCACATAATATATTAAACAGCCAAGTAACACTAGTACATGCTACTATTTTAATGTTTCATAACCAACAATAAAAAAATAACGACAATTTGCTCATGCTGTATAGAGAATAGAGTTGAACATATAAAGGCCCCACTACTTTCAATAGCTTAGGGCCCGGCCAAGCTTATGACAGGAACAATCCAACGTTTATTTTACATTCCAAATTATAATAATATAAGTTATATTTTGTTTTACACTTGTGTGTTATATTTTTCATTGTCTTAAAATTTTAGGTCTGTCATGACAATGGCGTCAGGATTTCCTTTTGGTACAGGTGCTTTCGCTGGTACAGGCTTTGGAGGATGGCCTATGTTTAGTCCCTGGGATATGCCAAGACCTTACATGCCCATTCCATGGCCTATGTTTCCAATACCAACTAGGCCGTGGTATGAAGGGTAAGTTCAGCTGTTCTGTTACTTTATTTTCTTTCAAATATTTACAACAAAAGTAAAGATTATAAGAATTAATTATCATGGGTCAACTATATCAGTATACTAAAAATAATTCATTATTAGTTTTCCTGTATGTACCTGTTATATAATTATATACCGTTACAATAAAATAGCTGCCAACTTTTACTTATTCTTTATATTTAAAGCGGTTTCGAAATTAAAGGTTTCAAATTTGATTCTTGGAAAATGTATTTGGTATAGTTATGCCAACATAAGTAAATTGTATTGTTCAATGTTTATTCTCAATTTCCTATTCTCTTTAAACTGCTGTATTTTTTTTTATTTGTAATTTTTTAATTTTATATTAAGTTTTTAATAAGAATTACGCCTTTTTCGATATTTTGAAACTATAAAAATGAAAATTTAAAGGTTAATTTTCAATTAAATCTCCCCACACTTTAAGCTTCCTTAACTTTTTTTAATCGTTTTTAAGTTTAAAATGAAAAATAATTAATCATCACAATAATTTGGAGATAAATATAAACTTATCTATGTGCGTCATATCTACAGAAATAGAGGTCAGTGATTGAGTGGACTTGGCTACTTGAAATTGTTTAGATACTCGTCCAATAGATTATTTTTAAAAGATAAGCTTAAATTGAAAGAAGCATTCCACTAAAAAGGGGAAAATTTTTAAGAAATAAGGTTAATGGACTAAGCTTTTTTATAAGATATATATTTCATAATCTACGAATAATATTTTTTCATTCATAACTTTTTTATCTGATAAAATTCTTCGCATAATTTTAGGCTTGCTTTAAAGGTTTAAAAAAAAATAAAGAGCATTGTTTACAAACAATGAGGGTTAAGTTTACGAATTCTTTAGTATTTTGCATTTAAATTCAGTTTAAAAATTGTGTCGATTTATTGGTTGAGAGTGATGAAATGTAATGAAAGTGAATAATTTTTATCTAGTTTACTTTTCATGAAATTAACTGAAATATATTTGTGTAAATGCAGTTGTATTAATGAAAACTTATGTGTTTTTCTGAAGTACTAAATGACAATATTGCAAAATATTTAATAAAATTTTTTTTAATTTTTTTGCGAAATCAAACAAATTTTATTATTTGATTACGCGCTTTTAATAAAATATTTCTGAAAAGAATATACGAGGTTCCCACGGTTCCTGAAAAATTTTAGTAGTAAATTTAGGTTAATGTACAATATATTTCTTATTTTAATATACCACTTCGCCGTTAAAAGGTTTAGAAGCTCGATTTTTCATGCATTTATACGAAAATAATTTTCAGTGGTGGTTACACAGAAATTAAATTATCGAAATTTGTTTAATTTTCGTTACCACTTTTTAAAATTTACAAGACTCGCGTGAACCCTAATATGCATATGTTAGCACAGTGTTTCCCATCCTAGTTTTGACTCATTTCACTATTTCTAGAAACTCCTTGATCCAATTTCAAAATTAAATACTTATATTTAATACATTTATTCAGATTTTTTCATCTCATGTTTTAAAATAGAAATAGCATAACATAGAAAATTGTGTTCAAATTGTGTGGAAATTAATTCCTTTCGTGTTCTCAAACTAATTATTACTGCAAAATTAATTTAATCATGAACTATTAGAAAAGAGTCTTAGTACAACAGGAAGCCATTCCGTGTTTAGTCACTTTTTGTTCAAGCAATACCAGTGATATATTTTTTGTGGCCAATTTTTGGATGCATGGAGAAAATTTTCAACGCTTCAGATTTAAAAATCTGTTTCGATAAGATAATCAACTGGAATGGAAAGAATGTCCTGTTATCACTTGCTAAAATTGGCACATCAAAGGCCAAATTGTTGTGATTTCTCTTCAAATATATTTGTGGCATTAAAATCTTTTTCCAACAAAAATTACTAACGCACTAAATCTAACTCTTCTTTAAAAAATTGGGGAAGTATTCAGTAAATGAAATATAAAGAAACAGTTCCTAAGAGATTTCGCTCTAAATCTAGCTCTTATTTAGAAAATTCTGGAAAGTATTTTATAAATTACAATCCAAAAGAATTAGTTCGTAATAAATTCCCCACTAAATCCAACTCTTCATTAGAAAATTCGAGAAAGTATTCCGCAAATCCAAAATGAATAGTTTCTAATGTATTTCGCACTTAATCTAACTCTTCCTTAGAAAATTCGGGAAATTATTGTGTAAGTTACAATCCAAAAGAAATAGCGCCTAATAGATTCCGCACTAAATCTAACTCTTCATTTAAAGAATTCGAGGCAGTATTCAGTAAATTACAGTAAAAAAAAAAAGTTCCTTATTGATTTCGCACTAAATTTAACTCTTCATTAAAAAATTCGGAAAATATTCTGCAAATTACAATCCAAAAGAAATAGTTCGTATTAGATTCCAACTAAATCTAACTCTTCATTAGAAAAATTCGGGAAAGTATTCTGTAAATTACAATTGAAAAAAAAAAGAAAAGAAAAAAAAAATAGTTCTTGATGGATTTCGTATTAAATTTTATTCTTCATTCGAAAATTCATTAAAATATGCCGTAAATTAAATTTGGAACAAATGGTTGAAAGAAATATTGGTTTTTATTCGATAAGATACTTTGCAGACAGAAATGCTTTTTTGTGTCAATTCAATCATGTTAAAATGCTTATCAATTCAATTCCTATTGCCATATCTCGTATCGTTTTCGAAATAAGATCACTACTTCCTAATGTTTCCACCAGATAGCTTTGCAGGTGGTGTCATCAAGTAGTGCAAAGGAAGTCACCATAGAAGAGTAAACTTGCCTAACTAACGCGCTGTAGTGCGGAGGTAGCGGGTTCGAATCCAAACGTAAGCGTGGATGCATCTTCGTGATTTCCTTTTCTAACTTCTGCTATTTGTCCCTCTCTTTGTCAAGGTTTTTCCTCTGTTTGTTAAACTAAATATATAATCTTGTCATGAAGAATTATCTGGACTTTAGAACTGACAAGTAACTTAAATATTTTAAAAGTTATAAAACTCTTTTTTAAAAATTTCCAATTTGACGACATTTTTGCACCTAGATAAAAATTATCAAAACCACTGCCGTGTTCTATGTTTCTGCAAATTTTTATAAGCCCAGGTAATGCAGCATTGGAGTAAGTTTTTAAATAATAAAAAATTAAACCACAAACGCTTTTCACTTTCACAAAACTGAGGCTTTTCTCCGTATTGATGTTTTTTGCCATTTTCAAAATAAGCGTAGATAGCGCTGGCCTTAGGCTAAACTTGACCTAACAGTCATGAGTAACAGTTGCAAACTCACAACAGTCATAAAAATAGTATACTATTCGCAAGAAAGCATCGTTTCATATTACGACAGAACCTTTGAAAAACAGCCTTAAGCATATTTCAAGGAAAATAATACCACATTTTATAAAATTTCTATGCTTTAATGAAATATACCTAGATACAACGTTTTTGACTGAAATCTTCCATAGATTAAAAAAAAATAATGGATAACCACTTTTTTTTTTTAATATTAATCACTTCCAGACAACAGACTTAAATGTCCACATTGTATACGTTTATAGCTGCAGTTACGAAATCGGTAGATTTTCATTTATGTCATTTCATAACTTTGCAATAGCATCAAACCTAAAACCTCAGTCTCAGAATTAAGATAATTTTAATACTAAGAATTAATATTATGCAAATACAGAAATGGAGAAAAAGAAAGTAAGGTAATGTTTTGCCATTTTTCAATCCAATGCTTCCTCTTAAAGTTCAGTCATTATTGCATTGAAATCAGAACTAAGGATAAGATAGATCAGCTGCTGTGATTTCATCACATCAACAGGTGAAATACAAGCTAATTATATATTCGTTAGGCTAACAAGTCCAAAAATGAAAGTCTCCATAGTATAAACAGCTGTTACTGTAGTCAAGATGACACGTGTAAAATTAATGATAAAAAGATTTTTAGGAATTCCATATTATTAAAGGAGTTTTATATTTAATTGAAAACATTTTAAAATGTAATGCTATTGCTCAATTGATTTTAAATCTTTTTTTTTTTTGCTTATACAGGGTTATGTTTCATTTATTTGCTGTGGTTGCATTTATGTTTATTTCTTCTAATTATTTTAATTTTGAATCTTTTAAGTATAAGGTTTCGTTTGAGTTGATTAAAACTGTAAGTTTAACGTTGTTATTATTAAAAACACAATGTGAATCTCGAGTTGCTTAATATGTTATGTTAGTATTAAGCAAATGATGACACAGATGTTGTACAATATCGACTGATTATTCTCTTGTGCAAACAAAAAAAAGTGGACACGAGTTATAAAGCTTAAATCAATTTTTAAGTGCTTTTTTATTAATTAAATGATTATACCTATGAACAATTAGATTTACGTTGAAAAAAATCTGAAGTTTCGGAATATAAAAAAAAAAAAAATGCATACTTAAAAATTCGAAAATCTTTTTATAATTACCAAATTAATTAATAAAAACAGGTAAGCCAGAAGTAAAAAGTGGTAGAAACTCAATTTATTTTTAATTATTCATTATTTTCTCAATCACTCATTTGTAACTACCACTAGGATTTACGTTTTAAATTATTTATATTTAAATTAAAATCTATAATTTCAATTGTAATCTGAAAAATAAAAGACAACTTGAAATGTTACCAATGTTTAATCTGTTTTTAATAGAATTTTATATATTTAGTCACCCGGTCAACCTTGCAAAAATCATTTATTTTATCTAAATTCCTCATTATATAACATATTTGTCTATTGCCTGAAGGTATTATAATTTATTTTGGTATTTTTATAATTATACATAATTTATTATTAATTATATAATTTATATTATTTATTATAATTTTCGTTATTTTAATTATTATAATATATTTTATTATTATATTATAAATCTATTATTATAATTTATTTTGTTATATTTTGCAATTATAATTTAACGAATCAACCAAACGATATGAATAGAAATATGACAAATTAAAATAAAAAAGTTGCAAAACCTTACCGTTTTGCTACTCTTATGTAATGTTATTTAACCGCAATACATTAAGCCAGCTTTTATGTTTTAACCGTCACTTTTTCCACTTGAATCCGATCCCCTGGTAACAGTTAAGCTTACTTTTTCAATTTATTACTATTTTAGGCATCCCCTCCGCAGAGGATCAAAATTGTGATGGCATGTCTTCGGATCATCCTCCGGGATGTTTCCCAGACCGTCGCCAATAGCCCATTGTGCAGCTCTAGTGCGACGTAAATTAACAACAAGAACTATTTTAGGCTTTTATCAATACTATTTCAGGCCGGGATAGCCTGGTTGGTAGCGCACTGGGTCCATGTCCAAGAGTTTGTGGGTTCGATCCCAGCCGGCCGAAGACTCCCCGTGTAGTAAATGGTGACTGATGCACGTTAAATCTGTTGAGTCGCAAAGTCCCCCATGTTCCCATTACAAATCAATACCTCTGAGGGTACTGATCCAGGAGTTTCCTTGTCTTCTAGGTTGGTTCAAAATTACAAATCTACGGCGTTAGCATTAAAAACCCTAAATAACCCATTAGTCGAAAAACCCTAAATTGGGTCGGCTGTTCACCGACGGTTTTAAAGTAAAATAAAATACCTCCGTGGCGATCAATCTCTAGTTGTACCGAAACTAGAGATTGATCGTTCTTCAAGTCAAAATTACATTCTGTGGATGAATGAACTGAGTATGATTGGTTCCTCCCTGTAAAATAGGAATGTGTGGCTGAAGTCGTATTCTTGTCCATAGATGGCACCACTTTGAAAACAAGAAACGCGCCCTCTGCCTTACAACTTCGTTAGATTTCAAGCAAGCTTGCTGATATTGGTAATCGGCATAAGTAACAATGATTGGTTTATTTATTTTTGTAGGGAGAATGTATGCACAACTACCAAAGAGATAGAGGATCCAAAAGAACTGCAGGAATGGTTTGATGAAGCCTCTCCAAATATAGACTACAACCACCAAAGTGAACAGTGCCAGGGAACGAGTTCAAAATATGTCTGCTTCAAGAGGTAAGAATTTCCACTCCTATACTAGAACATGTAAAAAGGCTATTCTTTTTCCCAAAAAAGCAGCAAAATGGTTTAAGCGTCCCGGTGTGTAGTTTATGATATAATCGTTTTCTTTTATTTTTTTAATGGGATATCTGCACGGGACGTCCAGTGGGTTGCTCGATCCTAATTGGGTGCTGAAACGTGGCATTTGTTTACGTTAGCAACTGCTCTTTCCATTCCATTTTGAGTAAACCCAGTCCATCAAGCATCAATTCTCTTAAGCGACACATTCTTTATTCTTTTACAAAAATTTCAATTCTTTCACTGTATATTTTTTTACATAATGCAAAGACTAACAGGAAGCCACGTAGAACATAAACAAACAATTTATGCATCGAAGTTGTCAGGTACACAAAACAAAAATACATCACGGTTACAATAAAATACATAAACAAATAATAAATCTAAGTTAGGTAAAAGACGTAGGCACCAAAGAATTACATTTTAACAAATTCGTTGTAGGATACGGTGTTGCATTTAATTAACTTCATGTTTATTAACATTCTAACTTATGTGAAGATACTGAGTTTGACTTTAATACGCTTTTTGTTTATATGCGATGAGCTGGCGCTAAGGTCATAAGTCACGTGTCTCTGTGTCAGTGATCGTCTTCTTGTTGAGTTGCAAGTACCCAACTGAATTTATAAAATAGTAAAAATGTTTCGTTTCAGAGAAAAAGGGAAAACCGAGAAATTATAATTGGTACTATTAAATAGATCGAGGGAAAATTATTCTTTCTCACAGCTCATGAAGGGAAAATTAAAAAATGTTAATTAATGCATAACTGGAAGTCAAAAATAGATTAAAAGACAGGATGTGAATGTTGAAGTATGAGAAAAAGCGTTTTGCTCAGTCAAGACACTAAACAGAAACCCGTGCAAATGTTTCAGTAAAAATATTCTGGCATGCAGCAAAAATTGCTCTTTATATTTCATCCAGTTAGGAGTGCTTTTTCTGCTGATGAACTTTTTATCAAAAGTTTGAAAAATATTGAGAACAAAATCTCCTTTCCTAAACAGAACGCAGTAAAATGTATATTCCAGTCTCTTTCCGTTTTTCTTAAATTCATTTTTCAAATTGGCGATCCATTTCTGTGGAAGCCGGTATGTGTACATTGTATACTGAGTAATAAACAATGAAGTAAATTTTCTCGTATTTGAATGTGCTTACAGGTACTCAAGCAATGGGGTGTCAAAGATGCAAATTACTAAATATGAGTGTTGCCATGGTTTCGTACGCAACGGTGGTTCTGGATGCATTGAAAGTAAGTACCCTTTATGACTGTAATTTTGTTCAAAACAATCTTAAATTATACAGGGAGCTCTGTCATCACCACCCATAATTTACGTTTTTAGAATTCTTGACAGGAAATATGCACGTTAGGACTCAATCGCCACTGAGGTGGATCGTATATGAAATAGAATTATTTTTTTATGAGTGCCAGCTATTCTCCAATAATTTTCTAAAAGGCAATTAACATATGCAACGTTTAGAGCGGAGTATCTTCGATCACCTAAACTAGTGCAAAAGCACCTTCACTGTAGATCTCACAACCCGTCAACTAAACTCTAAGTGTTGTGTTTGATCGTGGTCACACTTTGGTCAGGTCGCTTTTAAATGATTTTCAGAAAAGGGTGTAACAGTGAATCGGCTGATGTGATGTAATGCGAAGCGTTTGTCAATATAAGCAGCAATCATACCTTGCTTAAGTAACAGCACAAAATACTCAGAGAATACAATAAACTGTCCAGAAAAAATAATACGAAATGCACACAATATTAAAATGATATAAATGAGCACTGGGGCAGTCGTATCGAGTCATTCTAGAATGTCCATCTCAACTACAGTGGGTGTCAAATGAGAAGTCGCTTTATGATAGGGCAGTCTGAATATTCTTTTTATCTCCACGTTTTAAGAGCTGAAGAGCAAATTTTCGTTTTATTTCGATTTAAACCTCAACCTCGTTTAATAAGTAAAATTAAGTGTACTGAAGCAATTTAAATTGTTGGATGTCTTCATTCATCAGCTAATCCTTGTACAACGGTGGGATGGGTAAAATATTCACCTCCTACTGTTTAGGCAGTTACTCAACTCCTCATTCTAATAGCTGGATATCCGTTCAGACTGCCCTTTCTTCTAGCTTGTCTTAATGGATCGGAATCCACGATAGTCTAATATAATCCTCGAGGCAATTTCAGAGCCAGAAAAGTCCAAGCCCGGATTTTGCGGAGACTGTTAAAACTACCATTATCTACTCTTTAATCTGAATTATGATAGTTCCACGTATATCGTATGATATATCAGGAAAAGGTTTTGTTAAAAACGAGGAAAGTTTGGTGATAATCGAGTATCCACTTTTTACAGTGTGTGTCCTCTCTGGCAACGCACATTCCACCAAAAGTATTACAGACGATTAAAAATGCTTCCAAACGTCAATCGTTCTTTAAAGAATTGGTGGACTTGTTTATTAAACAACATAGATTTAAAGAATATCTCCTTACTTTGAATTGACGATAAACCGTTGCAGCTTCCTAAATGGTATGTATCTAAAATGTCATGTCAAACTTTGCTGTACCGGAAAGGGTTCAACAAGAAATGATATCATTAATTAATAATTCAAAATTAGAAATATGTCAATTTTTTCTCTTCTCATTTTTATTTGGTTACCTTAAGTTTCCAAGATCTATTTTATTTTTCACCTACCATTGACTAGGGATTCTCTGATAAGTCTGGTCATTTCCAAAATTATAAAAAAAAAAAAAAAATCTGTACAAAATATCCATTAAATATATTTATTCAAAAATATTAGTTGCAGAAATTATATTTTAAAAATAAATAGCCTTTCTTCAACTGCCAATGCATTTACAAAAAAATTCGAAACCGTTAAAAGGTTGTGTAACATTTTGACTTTATAAGGTAAACATTATTATATAAAGCTAATTTAGATCTAATAGACCTTATTTTATAAAACCTGATGATTTTATTGATAAACAAAAAAGGGGCGATTTCCTTCAAGAAGGAGAATCGAATTGTGAATAATGCAAAATTGACACGGACGACTAAAAATGTAAAAAGTAGTGATTAATCAAATTCAAAATTTTAATTAAAAGAGAGAATTAGCAACTTTTTCTAGCATATTTTCTTTAGTTTCCGATTGAAAGGAAATGCAAAGAATGTTTTCGCTTTTAATATAAAAAATTTCAAATGTTAGTCATAGCGGTACATACTATTGAATAATTAACCCCTTAACTTGTGCGCTCGAGTTAATTCGAGCTCACAGATTTTTTTTCAAAAAATCTGTGCTTTAAGGGGTTGACAAATAAAAAAATAGATTAGGTTTATACCGTTATTAAAATTTTTGTCGCCTGTGGCATCCATGATAATGGGTTCAACAAAAGTCTGGTGTTGTTGATATTTTGGGGAAAAGGGCATTACTCTTATTTTTATATCCTCAGAAAATTACTAACATCCATTTAAACAATTACTACAATGTCTATCAATTTAGCTTCGATTGCATTCGGAAAATAATAGACACTCCAGATTGTCGCATAAAACAGTTAAGGGTACTAGGTGCCCGGATACTAGGGGTGTACTTATGTTAGAAATAGTTAATCCTCTTTATCTTGTGATTTTTTTTTTTTTGTTGAGAAAATTGTTTTAGGTAAGTACACTCTGAAGAAGAGTGCTTTTTCAAAGATAGTCTGCTCATTCATTTTCATGGAATGCATATTAATTAACGTTTTAGTTTAACCTTATTGTCCTATTGTATTATAACTATTAGTAGCTATTATGAAATTATTTTCTGCTTTAATGACAAATTTACTACTAAAGTACTTTACTATTTACTGAGTACCTGATACTAAAGTATCAGGTACTCAGATTTAAAAGTATCAATCAGGTCTGTTTATCATCATTTAAAGCAATCAAAAGGTCAGCTGACCACAATGTGTTACCTAAATTTTTAAAAAAACGTATAGGATGGATGAAATAAGGACAGCTTCGTTGCACAGGTGCCCAAATCGCAACCACTACTAGGATTACTTTATCATCAATTCCAGTAATGAAATACATATGTTCGCGCCGTTTCCATATGTTAAATCAGGCAACAAAATGAGAGAACCCTATGCATATCAGCTTTATTTTGAGAAAAACAAAGAAATGGTTGCAATTAAATCGTAAAATCTATTTGACTGAAGAACAAAACTGATTTTCTCGCGGTTTTGTAAATTATCACATACATTAACTATACAAATATTGAAGTAAAATTTTATTTCGAGGATTTCTTATAATAAAATATGACTAAAGCGTCATCTTTTTTACTTCATGTGGCGGCTCTCTCTTTTGTAAGAGGAGATAGATAAGCAATATTACCATTCACGTAAAAAAAGTCCAGCCACGAAAAGCCGTATATATATGTTACTGTGAGTGACCGAAATGCGTGGTTGTTGACATCCACCGGTGAATGTTGACAATCACATAGTTCGCTTTGGTAAATGTCAAAAATATCCCCAGAAGCAGAAAGTGCCTGAAACTGTGACGTACGTCGCAGAACAAACGAAGTCCTGCAGAACAATTTGTATCTTGAATAAGTGACAGCGTTTCTAAAAGAACAAATGCTTTTGAGGGAGATGAAGAAGTTGCTGGAACAACAGACCAGCGAATGTCTGTGTTGTTTGCAAATGGTGCACCATCTGGGCACTTGTCCCTTCGAAAGATTTTTAAGGCAGCCCTTATTTTAATGTTCGGACCTTCATATCATAGGCATTTTATTAATAATTCATCATTATCATTAATGAAATTTTTTACTTCAAAACTGATTGAAAAAGTAACAAATCAAGAATGTTTGCCTTGGTTTAAAAAATAATGTAGTGTATCTGTGTATGATCCTGTATTTTAATAAATGTAAATATAGCATTTTAACGTAAAGTTGACTTTTTCGCTGTGACATGCTTGCAGAACATTTGTATAAATCAATGACCCTGTTGCAGAACATTTGAAAATATTTTGCTTATGGCTATATAACACATGTCTAGTTAAGTGCCACTGTACGATATATACTTGCGCGGTATGTCCTACTCTGATGTTTTTTAAAGTTAAGTGCCACTGCCCAGTATGCATATTACCGGTACTCCGAACATTGATGTTTCGCTTAATCTATCCTCAGCATATATTAAAATATCGAATAAATATAATGATACCAAGGAATAAATTAAAATCAAATCGGTTATAACAAATATTTCGGACATTCACCAAAGCGACTATGTGACATTCACCGGTGAAAGTCGACATTCTCTTGATTTCGGACCTTCACGGTAACATATATGAAAAATATCTCTGATCCTTGAAAAAGAAGTGGTAGTATATGTTTGTTAGCTTATAGTAGATAATATTTATTTCTGTGACATATCACTTTAAGGAAAGCAATATCTTTTTTTTGTTTCGCATACATTCGCAAGGCGGCTTATAAGCCCTTGTCAAGTTGAAGAACAGATAGCACAAATTACAGAAGTGCATAGCAGACATGCACCCAGAGTTACGGTGAGATTTGAACCCACTAATTCTATACTACAAAGCATTTTTGACTGATAAGCGATACCCTTCGGGCAGAGGGGTCCTAGCAATTTTCGTTTATTTACTTTTTGTTACACATACATGCGCGGTCTTGTCATCAAGTTACAATTCATGACTCAGAAGCTCTTAAGTTGAAGAATAGACACACTTTAGAGAAGTATATTCAACAATGCAACCGGCGTTATGTTGGGATTCGAACTCGCTACAGAGCATTTGACGAATTAGCAAGACCTTTTGACTATCTTATTTCTTCAAAATTAATCCTAATAATTAAACTCTTGTGCTACCACTAATTTTATATACATATATAAAAAACGAGCCTTCAATAGGATGCTGGACTCAAATCTGTTAAAGTGTAAATAAAAACATATCTAATATATGGTCATACTTTTAGTTTTGTAGTTAGTTTTTATTTCTTCCCCATAATTGTTTCCACCCTGTCATTAAACACCCACCACCAGCAAATGAGGTTGAATGTAAATGAAAACATAGTGCTGATGAATCAAAACATATAGTTCTTAGTTTTGAGTTTTTTTCTTCTTTAGCTTTAGTGTTAGCTTGTGTTAGAATACAGTCATTAAATAATAGCTTTAGTTAACAATAATACTATAACATTGCTATGCTCATGCTTGCCCAACTAACATAGCTTCTGTTTTACTAACCCTTACCTAGGTCCTGCTACAACACAAAAATCAGGTGGACGCAGACCAGATTCATACTACTTTTATCCCATTCAAGCAACCACAGACTCTTCTAGAAGTAAGTATAGATTGTTTGTTATAGAATTATTTCAACAATTGAGGAGGTCAATATTAAAAGGAAGTATGTTACAAATCCGCACTTCCGAAAAAAATTTTAAAAAAACTCTGGAAATTGTGGAAAGATTGTTTTAATTGCTTCCAAATTGTTGGGTTCGCTTCTTTAGGCAGTCTAGAAAATTACTGGGTATTTGGTAATCGGTGAGGGATATTCCAAAACCAACAACAAAACTATTTATTATTATTATAACGTAAAAATTTTACATACCCCTTTTAACATTGACAGCGTCAATTTAATTTGAGACTAATTTTAAAATCTAGTCAAATAAAAAACAATGGTAGCCTATAATAAAATAGCATAAAATAATTTAAATTTTTTTTCTTCAAATTTTTATTATAATACTAACTCCTTCAGGACCAGCAGAATTTGAACGGCGCATTTCATCAGGTCCGCTGAGTGTATACATACTAATTCAAGATAAAATACTAAAATACCGTATTGAAATCTCCTCCGTGAGATTTTGGGCCAATAGAATCAGAGAAGCTTGTTTTATATATGATACCCTGGCTGCGAAGGTAGACTCTCGCTATTACGTATATGTGATCACAGTTCTAAAGAGGTTAATATTTTTGGGGCGGAAATTCGTCGCAAAAATGGTAAAAAGCTGGCAGTTAAGCTCGTGATACGGTAATAAAGCGCTGGTTAAATTTAAAAAAACCTGTTTTATTTATTGGTTAACTATGACTTTACAAACCGTGATTGGACACTGGTTAAAGCCCTGAGCTGCCATTGCGTAGAACCGGAGTTCCATCTCTAATGGTAGCTTGAAGCCTACCCAACCTGAGCCAACTTGTTGGAACATAGATGCGGTTAGAGTTCAGTTAAAACCACAGTTCAGTAATCTCTCACTATCATTATAGTGGTACATAAGTTTTGGTCATAAAATGTATTTAATGTTTTGAAAAGTTAACATGAAGCATTTCTTATCACAATAATGCGATAACTCAAACACATAAGAAGGTGCGATTTCCGTATCGTAATCTGTGGCAGAAGAATCGCCAAGTTTTGGTAACTTCCGGGTAGCTGACCCCGAGAAATTAAAAAAAAAAAAAAATTCTCAGAAAGGGACTAACTCGAAAGGTATAACTTGAAACCACCCCTGAGCAAACATCTAGATGTTTTTTTTTTTTTTTCATTTTTAAATTTCAAGTTTAAAATCTATTTGACACCTTGGCGATTGAAGTTTGCGCGACACATCACGATACGAAATATACTCCATGTAAAAAGTCAAGTTATGGCCAGGGTGAAAATTGTTAGCATTTAAGTTGTTGCTGAACCTGGAAAATGTACATTATTTTAATTATCATTATAACAATTTTGAGAGAACACTGCATATCCTGACATTTCCACCCACAACTTCAATTTGAAAAAAAAAAAAAAAAAAAAAAATACATACTTTTGATGAATCTGNAAAAAAAAAAAAAACACGACGAATGATTGTAGTACTAACACATTGTCGGGTCACGGATCATGTGTTAACACATTGCATGCGAGTCACGTAAAAATATGTTTTTGAAATTTTTGCGATCCATACAAAAGTTTAAAAAGTAGTTTCAAAACTACTTCATTTCCTCTCTGTTTTTCAAAGAAATTATTTATTTGTGATTACCACAAACATGAATGATACAGTATATATATAATCAGTACTACAATCGTTAGCCGTTATTTCTTTTTTTAAATTGAAGTTGTAGCTATAATGACTAGTTTGCTCCAACTTTTATGAAATCTTGCCTACCACTTTTTAAAAATTTTAATCTTTTCGGAAAAGTTGTCAGTATGCAATTTTCATGACAGCCCCCCTCCCCAACAATTGTTTGGCTGTTGTAAAAGTGTCTAAAATTTTATCTCTCTAAATTCTTCAAAATTGATTTATTTGGAATAAACACGTTTTTGACTGAAAAGTATTTCCTTTAGACTGTGTCCGAAATTGAATATAAATTTGCTCTCCAAATATTACTGCACTTATTATAGAATAAAAACAGTAATTTGATCAAAATTGACTTCTAGATAGCTCACTAAAAAAAAGCATTTATTATATTATAATTTTATAGCATCAAAATAATATTTTACCTTGCTAGTACAATATATTTAGTTTTGTGTGAATCTGTAAATTATTTTCAGATCCAGTGTAAATTTTAAATTTCCGAAAACTACAAACTTGAATAATTTTTGACGAAGGAATCTTTAGATTAACACAGTAAATAGCTACAAACTAGACTTGTAATTTTATACACATTTTGCTAGTATTTTAAAGGGTTTAGCATAAAAATGATGACAAGAGTGATGAATTATATAAGCCTACGAATTGTTTAGAAATAGTGGTGGATAAAAATCTACTAAATTGAATTTATTAAACCAAGAATCACAAATAATAAATTACTACTTGAAAATATTTATTCGCTGTCCGGAGCAAGTTGGCATCTCTGTGTATATAAATAAAACTGTTTTTGTGTGTTCGATATTGCTTTTCTTCAAACCATTTTAGTAACGATAATAATGTTAAAAAAATGAAAAATTTACTCGAGCTATGTGTTTCTAATAACCACGGCTTCGCCTGTTACCAGCTTACCGTGTTGAGGTTACCAGATTTCTCAAAAAACTAGTAGAAAAAGTTTTAACAAAACATTCCAAAAGTCACACCTTTACCTTTTTCAAAGAAATTATTTCTGTTAGAAATTTTCTGCAGAGAATCTCTGTTCCAAAAATATAGATTAAGAAAGATAAAGCTGTTAGTTTTCAATGAAATTTTACTACCAATTTTTTTAGTTTCTTGAGAACGTTGGTCAGCTTACTTTAGATGGAAGTTAGAATTGTGATGTCGTAGAAAAGACCAATTAAGCTTAATTGGAAGATGCATCTTGGAATCAACAAAAACAGTTATTAAGCAAGAAAATAAAATATTAAAACATCACGTGATTTCTGAAGAAAAAAAATGATGAAGGAAAATTATTCTACTCTCCTCAACCATATATCTGCTGTGCTTTTACAACCCTTTATCCAAAGTTGCCAACTTAATAAGCATCTATTCCTCATCAATATTTCCCAAATTGTCCCCAACAGCCAATCGTGCAACTCTTGTGCGACGGAAATAAACTACTACAATGATCGTTTACAATAACAACTGCACTTAAGTGAAATTATTGCAAGTTTTTTTGTAAGCAAGTATAATAAATTAGAAGCGAAGCCGTGATGACTCAGGGGATCAAGCTTTCGCCTTCCTATAAGGTGAACCGGGTTCGAATTCCTCTTCCGGATTGCACCGACTACAGTGCTGACGTAAAATATCCTCGGAGGTTGACGGATTATGGGATAGAGTCCCCTTGCCGTTAGGCTAACCGTGTACTGTCTTTTCTCTCCAAGTAACGCAAATGCGAGTTAGTTCCATCAAAAAGTCCTTCACGAAGGCAAATTTCTCCCAATACTTGATCCAGGAGTTAACTTGTCTTTTGGACGGATGTGAACATAAGCAGCGGTAAACCCAAAAATTGGGTCGGCTGCTCAACGACGGTTATGAAATAAAATAAAATTAGAAGTGAATAGTTCAACTTAATTATTAACCCTTTCGTGCCGACTGTCATAAATACGTGCCAACATAAAACCGTATCAATCAAGGTAAAAAGATGAAAGCAGTCCAAAGTAGCTTTTTAGCAGTTTATTTGTGGGCGGGGTAATGATAGTTTGCTTTATTTAATTCACCACTATTTAGTTCGAATTAAAAATTGTATAGTTACACTTTTAACACACGTGGATTGGATGTGTTAGATTTAAAGTGAAAACAAAAATAAGCCTGTCAAATTAGCAATGCCCAAACTTAAGCTACCGCTTTTTATATTTTACCGTCCTGATACTGATTCTTTACGAATACATTTAGGACTTACCCGTCCCGAAAGGGTTAAAGAACAAAAAAAAAATGAAACAATTTAAGTAAATTGTTCATGGATCTGGACAAAGTATTTTTTTCTGAAATAAATTGAAGACCCTTAAATAGTTTCTATAAACAGGGATGCCTTATGCGACTAAAAAATTTAAAGAGTGGTAGAAATTAAATTCACTTTTAATTATTTATTATCTCTTTAATTATTTAATCGTAACTACCCTACAACTTATATATCAAATTAATTATAAACAAAGAAAACCATGTGCTCTCTAAACTGTAGAGATTTAATAAACAAGTTTCATACAGGTGTTTGTTTAAGATAAAATCTTAAACCAAATATGCTAGGAAAAGTAATTAAATTTTTTTACTAAAATTATGATTTTTTTAATCACCACTTTATGCATACTTTATCGGGTTCTCTTTTGGTTGATCTGAGCACTTTATAATGGCTCTTAGCATAATAACAATATTCCATTTTTTCTAATTTTCCGACTTTTGGTAAGATCATTAATTCAGGAGCTTCTATCTGGAATGGAATCAAAATTACAAGGCTACGAAGTTAGTTGATAATCGTTCACTCAACACTGAGTTTTAACGCCGGTTCAAAAATTAAATATTAGGAGGAAATTCAGGAGCTTATTGTTGCTAAATGAACAGGCATTTAATGCATTGCTTGCAAAATAAATAAATGTTCTACTGTTAAATAAGATTAAAATAAGATATTTTTCTAAAAAATATATTTTTTTTTAAATGTCGCTCAAAATTTTCGTTTGCTAGGTTTTATAATAATATTTTGTTTTGTAATAAATTTCAGAACATTGCTTTGCATCTATTTTTTTAAAAGTAGAATGACGTTTTGTTGATATTTTCGACAACAATGAAAAATTTTACAAATAATTTAATATCTGTATCTAAATTTTGAAAATATTGTTTACCTAAGTTTGAAAAGAAAATTAAGAAATAAATAAAAAAAAATCTTTACTTTCAGGTGGTGTAGAAGCTGTACCTATCCAATAAAAGCATTGGTTAATGAACATTTTGGAGTGCGAAGGAAAATTTCTTTCGAAATGTGATTGTATATTGTATTGCATTTAATAAGAATTAAATGTTTTATTTTGTGATGATTGAACTATGTATTATTTTATGCTAATACATATTTTTATGATGAATAATAAATGTATTATTTTTTATGTTAATAAACAGAATTTTTAATCGTATAAATAGGCATGTTCTTTATTTGTAATTCGTTTGTAACATTAAATATTGTTAATAACAAGTTCAAAAAATTTTCTGATGGACTTTTTGATGTGAAAATAGCTCGAAGATTATAATGTACGTAAGATAGCGTAAAGTGCGCAAAATAATATACGGAACAGCTGGGATAACTTCTGATCTACTGATCGCACTTATGAGTCATGTCATACTTACATATATAAGAAAAATGTATATAATATACCTTATTATGTACAGTGCGCAAAAAAACTAATTTGAATAACTTTTCATTTAATGATCTGATTTTCACGTACCAGGTCTCAATCTTAAAGGTAGGAGGGTCATTCCTCAAATATGCTAATTAATTGGTGCAGACGATATTTTAAGTGAAGGAACCAGAATAAACTTACTTTCTAGAAATAAACATACCTTTTTCTCAACAGATTCGGATTTTCGACTACAATTATGAGGAGTAATAGAAATTTGGAAAATAGGATCCAAATGTGGTGATTTGGTCACAACAACCGGTCTAAAATTAGGACCCTCGAATGTTAATTTTACTTTTTGCGTATTTCGCTATAATTCGAGAAAATTTTATGCCAATTGAAAAATTTTTGCACACTATTGTAAAATTCGTCTATCCAAAGATAATTTCATTCATAATATAATTTTTAGTAAATATTTATTATTTTTTAATATTTTTTTTAATAATGGATGAAAATTTTTTTAACTGTATGGAATGTAAATTTTTGCATAATTTTAAAGAAGGCAATTTTTCATGGAAAAATACAACATTTGAGCAAAATTGATCGAATAGTTCCTGAAAAATCGAATTTTAAGTATCTGACTTTTTTAAAATTCTATTTCTCAGGGAATTATTCAACGCGTTTTGGTCAAATGTCATATTTTGCCATATAAAATTACATTCTTTAATATGATGTAAAAGATTGTATGCCTTACAATATAAAATTTTTTTCGACCATTTTTAAATAAAATAATAAAAATTGACTAAAAATTATTTTTTACATTGAATTAATTTTGGATAAATGAATTTTATTATTGTGTGCAAAACTTTTTCGAGTCGNGTTTAACGAATTACATGTCATTTATTTGAATTCAAATTTATTTTAATGACTTAGTATTTAGTAAAAAGATGTAATTTTTTTTAAAAAAAAGTTTTTATATGGATTTGAATGATTGTTTCGAATTCTTAGAATTTTGTGCATTTGCAATGTACCTAAGTTAGTAGCGACAGAAGCGAGCTTGGTTTGCGAAGCAAACCATATAAGATTGCGTAGCAATTTTCGGGGTTTGTCGAGCGTTAGCGAGCCGGGGGAACAGCCTACTAGTAATATATAATTATTAAAAGTTATTTTTTTGTAAGAAATTATTTTTGGAGTCACGAATTTTATAATTTTGTGCAAAAATTGTTCGAAGTCCTCGAGAAATGGCGAAATACGCAAAAAAGTAAAATTAGCATTTCGAGATCCAAACTTTTGACCATTATAATAAACATATTTCTAACTATTGGGACAATAATTTCCAGATTGCGGATACCCTCTACATCTGAGGGTTCAGCATCCATATCTGTGACAAAAAAAGTAGCTTTTGGCGTCTAATTTCGTAAATTAAAATATCGTCTGCGCTGATTAATTAACATATTTAAGGCTAAGGTCACAAACCATTGATTGAGATTCTATCATTAAATCAAAAGTTATTCAGGGTGTTCAGTTTATTTTTATTTTATATATTTTTTTGTTAAATGTACCTTAAATATAGCGTATTTGGGGGAAAATGTTTGTCAAACTAAACATATTTGAAAAACTCGTATCTAATTTATTAAGCGAAACAAAAATAACGAAATTTTAAAGCAATCTTCATTAATTTTTTTTATTTCACAAACGTTTACAAATTATATTTACTTTGAAGAAAAAAATAATTCGCTTGTAGTTAATATCAAAGTTCTCTGAAAAGTTAATCACAAAGTGCCCCTATGTATGACTCTGGTTCTTAAAAACCAGTTACAATTTATCTAGTTTCATATGTCTTACTACTCATATTCATATGTGTTGGTTATCTTAGCATCAGCCCCGCTAGGGGCTCCAACTAATTCATATGTCTTACTAAATTAATGTTATTATATTAGAGGGTTTATATGGGACTTAAAATAGTGGTAGTAAATTTACGCTAATGCTGATGGGAAATTCTTTTTAATGTATTAGTATTCAATTGTTAGAGGTACAGAGTAGAATTCTCACACTGATATGTTTTTTTTTTAGTAATTTGGGGCAGTTTTTATAAATATATTTTTTTAAAAAAAAACACCTTTTTTTTACATTTTTGACACCACTTTACTGAAACAGAAATGCCAACTGCTCCGGACACGGTAAAAGAATTTTAAAAAAAACGGTAAATAACTATTTACAAACTATTTTAGCTTTCTTTTTACAAGGTATAGCATGACTTAAGTACTTTCGTTCGCTGTTTTAGAGCTGGGCATCTGAGGCCTAAATGGCCCTTATCCCATTCATCATGAAATATCCCAAAGGGACATACATAAGAAAGACTTAAGTACTATAAAGGATAAGGATAAAAGATAGGACTTAAGTACTATAAAGTGGTGAATTATAAAAGCCAGCGAATTATTTAGAAATAGTGATGGATAAAAATCTACTAAATTGAACTTATTAAACCAAGAATCACAATTGATAAACTACCACTTGAAAATATATATTTGCTGTTCGGAGCAAGTTGGCATCGCTGCTGAAATGACCAAACCATATGGCACGAAAAGTAATTCTCTTAGAAATTAAGGCGTAAACTTTGCTACCACTATAATACTCCGTTGAATTTGGCACAAAAGCAACCCCATTACCTCCTAATTTTAATGTCCAACCTAGTTCGGTACAAAATTTGAATAAAAGGAAACAAACAATTAGGATTAGAATGAATATGGCGCAAGTTATTTCAGCAACGTAAAACATTTTGAGCGTTTAAATAATAAATATTTTATGTATTTATCTACTAATTTGGTTTAATTATATAACAAAGATTAATTTTCTGATCCAAATGTTCGGAGGATGGACTCGAATATTTTGGGAATGTTAATAACGTTTTTCTAGTATTATTTCCGGAATATTAAATAAATTAAACTTAAACTGTATAAAATATCTGTGGTGCTTCGATAAGGTTGTGGAATGCAAATGAAGTATTCATGTGGATCATTGAGGTTCTGACTATGTAATTATATGCAGTAGGGTGATAAGACTATTTTGTAAAAGTACGAACTTTAGCTAAGCAGATAGGATGAAAATGAAGTTAAGTGTTATGCTATTGATGTCGGAAATACGATGCATCATGCCAGTAGTATGCTGCTATTGGTCTGATGTTTTTGTCTTCAGTTAAATTTTCGAATAGGAATATTTCATTGAAATTTGCTGTAGAGCAAGAGGTGGCTTTTTCGTAGAATTTGTTGCTTAATTTAGCTACATGTTTGTCGATTGCATCTATTTTGAGGTCATGTTGTATTGTATCATTTCTTATGAACCATCTGGCTTTTGTTACCCTTCTTAATATTTCATTCTGGCAGACTATTAATTTATTTAGCTGAGTTTCAGTTATATTTGTCAAGACTGGTGAAGCATATGTAAGAATATCTATTATATATAATTCTCTTACGTGGCTCCCAAATTTTGGCTGTATTTCTTTTCCGCCGGTGGCAACGTTTGCTTTGCTTTGTTTACGTTTTGAAAACACCAAAGCATTCTGCCTTTTAATGACGTGTTTCTGATCTAATATATATAATTCTCTTACGTGGCTCCCAAATTTTGGCTGAAGTACTTTGTACAACTAAATAAGATTCTTTTCACAACAGTTAAATATTTACTTTATTTTCTTCATTCATAGAGAAAACAGTCGGCAAAGAATTCTGTTAGGTTAAAAAACATTTCGCTAAAAAAATAACGAATTCTAAAAGAAATAAAAATAAACAACTTAAAAAATAAAAATGCTGTTGCCAGCCATAGAATTTTTTGAAAGTTAACTTAGCAACATAAATCAAAATGACATAGAAGCGCAACTAGATCAAAATTATGATACCTGAGCGCTTGACGTAACAAATCCTTCAATTCTAAAAGTGTTGTATCGCCAAATGCCCAAATTAACAATTGTGTTCTTAAAGAAATTCTATAAAAAGTTTTAAATAAACAACCTACTTCTACAACTGCTTCTTGAAGAACTTGGCTCATTGATTAAAAATATTGTTTTAATTTTACAGTACTAACTTTACTTCTACTTTCATTATTGCTATGACCCTCTTTCATTACATTTTACAACTTCATGCTAAATTTGAGGACTTTAAGTTGTTTTGTGGTTGAATACTGACATTTAGAAATGTGTACATAAAAAAAATAATATTTAGAGGTTAAGAGTTGCCTCAGAAAAATTTGAATTGTTGACATTGAACTTAACAATGGAAACAATCGTTTTTGTGAAAAATTGAATTGTATTGTTGACATCAAAACTAAAAATATTGTGTTTCAACTTAACAATACTACCTTAATTTATACTTTAGAATTGCCTCGGAGAAATTTGAATTGTTAGCAATGACTTAAACAAAAAGTTTTATTTTAACTGACAAATACTATATTATAATTTTAACTTTTTCTATGACTATACTCATTTTCTTACTCTTTTCTTTGTTTTTTATACATTTTATATTTTTGTGATAAAATAAAAAACTTATAGTTGTTCTGCTTCTGAACACTGATGAAAACACAAAATGATGGGCTTCATCAACAATCAAAAATATATACATTTATTTTACAAATTCCATATTATTAGGGTGGCGCCCTTCAGAGAATTAAAAATACAAAATTATCTTCATCAAAGCCGATGCTTTACATCCGGCGTTCAGTGGCAGACTACTATTTCATATTGTTTTACAACACATGGCTTTAGCCCTCTGGTGGGAAAGACTTTAAAACAAAACTTACAACAGTTACTTTTCTCAACAACTGAAATTTAGAATAGTGTGATTAAGAAAAATATGTGAACTGTTTGCAATTTCAAATTAATATTGAAATGTACAGGTTTAGAATTTTCTACAGTGAAAAGTTTTCGGAACTTCAGTATTCAAAAAAGTATACAAAAGCTAGACGTTAAGAACGTATCCAATGAGCGAGCAAAGCGAGCATTGGATTGCGAAGCAATCCGAAATGAACTGCGAAAGCAGTTCCGGGGGTTGGCGAGGGCCGGCGAGCAGGGGGTGAAGCCTCCTAGTATTAAATAAATCTTAAGGTTTTCGAAATATATATTAGAACGCTTTTTTAATTATAGTGGCATAGAAAAAGAAAAAAAAGCTTTTAACTTTCTATGCTGATTTTGGTCGCTGCAAATTATACATAGATAAAAAAAAGACCCCAGTTCTGAAATCTTTAAGTAGGATCTTCCAAATTGGGCAAAAAGTTTTGCCATGTAAAATCATCCAAAAGAATTGTTGCTAAAAGAAAAATTGTTTACATATATTGTAAGTGTTTTGATTATAGTGATTCTTTAAAAACAAACTCTAAGAGAAAAAACATGTTAAAGTTATCGCATCATCAACTGAAATGTATTATCGCCTTCTTCCTAAGCCCTGCAAATGAGAGAGAAGTGGGGACATTTAGTAGTAACTGTTATCTAAATGAATTTTACAAAAATCCTGGTTTGGAATAATTGGAAAAAAATTGTAACTTGGCGACAGAAACCGATCTAAGAAAATTGGATTTTAGCTTAGGTGCAATCTTAGATTGGTTCCCTCATCCATTTTATTTGTACCGAAGGGGAAAATCCGATCATTAAGTCAAAGGTTATTACGATCAATTATCCATTTTTTTTTCTATTTTCACTGATTGTACAGATGTAAAAATTGCCAACTTTTATATTTGTTGTAGGAGTGTTATCTTAGAAAATTTATGATTGTAAATTTAGTAATTGATTTAATTAATTTGATCTGAAATGATTTTGAAAAACACGACAATGAGTTTTCATAAATACATAAGTAGCTTTGACTGTAAAAGAGGGATCAAAATCATTAAAAGGGTGGTTCCTATTATTTTATGTCAAATTCAACAAACCAATATTTTAATGTAAAATGATTTAATAACCACAATATAGTCTTTGACTACTTGAACAAAATCATTCTCGTGTGATGGCCTATATACTTTTAAATTAAATTCATCAATGTAAAAATTAAATTTTAAGCAATGAGATTTGTTGCCAATAGGAAATGTTACCCGAAAACCCAAGTACGTAAGAAACGATACAGTGCTTCGAAAAACTATATTACTTTTGTAGATTACTACAACTACTTTGTCACAAATGTAGTTAGCTACAGCTACTTTTTTTTAAAAAAAAAGGTATCGCACTATACTACAAATTACGAGAGAAATGTAGCGAGTACAGTAGTTTCACTACTTGTAGTGCTCTACTTCCGACCACTGAAGCTATGTTAACCTATAGCTGTCAACTTGTAGTGGAGAAAAATCTTATTGGTAGCATACTTTAATGTATAAATCTTGTTTCTTTAAGATGTATACATTAACACTTTAATGGGAGATTTATTCTCAGTAAAAGTAAATTAAAATATTTTTGAAGGTAAACTAAATATTTGTTTTAGACACGATGTCAAAAATTAAACAATTTAAATCTTATCAATTGTTCAAATATGTAATATCAATTAGCAAGGCCTGTTATGCTTTTAACTGTTGAGGAAGTTCACTGGTATCTAAAAGTTATGCATAAATTTATATACAAAAATATGAAATCATTTCTTTACTAACCCTATGGAAAAAATTTGTTGCTGTTGTTGCTGTTACTTATGCTACTTGCCAATATCGGAAAGCCAGCTTGAGGATCAAGATAGCCAATAATACGTCCTCAGTCACAGACATACGTTACAACTTGTTTTACAGAAAAGACACCCATTCACACATCATCTATCCAACCTCAGATCGTTATTTAGTTTTATAACCATTGGTTGTACAGTCGAACCAATTTTGGGTTTACGTCTACTAATGTTCAATTCCGTAGCTTTGTAATTTTGAACCGAATCCAGAAGACAAGGGAACTCCTGGATCATGTGGTGGGAGAAAGCTTCCTTCGTAGAGGACTTTTTGTTGGAACTTACCCGCATTAGCGTAACATGGAGAGGAAAACCACGAAGACCTTTCCCAATGAGCCTGACGGCAAAGGGACTCCAACCCATGATCCATTTACCGCTGAGGACAATCAGCACTGTGGTCGGTGTGAGCCGGGTGCGGAGTTCGTATCGACCAGCCAATGCTGGGATTCGAACCCAGTTCACCTCATTGGAAGGTTCACCTCTATCCCCTGAGTCACCACGACTCAAATCGTAATGCTGACTTGAATCGATAGATCGATTACACGATCGATCTCTGTGATAGTACCCCTAAAGGCATTGATTTATTATAAGAACTTGGAGTACTTTGTGACGCCGTCAGATTTAGCGTACACCAGTCACCAATTTTCTTGTTATCAGTAAATGTTTTGAAAGATTTTACTTTCAAAACAGTTGACACGATTTAAATACCATGCGTGACAATCTTAGAAGTAGGGTTCTTTTTACCCAGTTAAAAGCTTCTTTCTCTTTCCAATACGGCTATAATTAAAGAAGCCTTCTAGTTTAAATATTCCTAAACCTATAGAAGGTTTTCAAAATTGCTGGTATTAAAACTGGACAGAAATTATAAACTTCCTTTCCTCATTTTGCTCTATCTGAACTTTGCTTGACTAAAAATGACGCAATTTATGAAAGCTTCAAGTATGATTTTTCAAATTGGGTCAACAATTTTGCTATTTAAAATCTTCCAAAACATTTGCTTGCTAACAGAAGAAACTGTGTCAATTTAGTTAGCATAAAAGTGCTTCTATATTTTTGTCCAGAGCCAAAGTGGCTAAGGGAATAAAGCATTCACCTCCCAGCGACAGCTGGTCGTTACGAATTCAGCATCCGGCTCGTACCGACCACAGTGCTGACGTAAAATATCCTCAGTGGTAGACAGATCATGGGTTAAAATCCCCTTGAAGTCAGAGGTTTTCCTCTCCATGTGAAGCAAATGTGGGTTAGTTCCATCCAAAAGTCCTCCACAAAGGCGAATTTCTTCCAATACTGGATCCAGGAGTTTCCTTGTCTTCTGGAGTGGGTTCAAAATTACAAGGCTACGCAGTTGAACATTAGTAGTCGTAAACCCAAAATTGGGTCGCCTGTACAAGGGCAGTTACAAAACAAAATAAAACATTGTAGCAAATTAACCTTTGTAGAGTGTTTTTTTACGCAACTAACACACATTTTCGTTTTAGGAAAATCACGGAAACTTTCTGTGGTTAGCTCACCGGCAAGGGGATTCTAACCCCCGATCCTTCGACCAGTAATCTTTTCGCGTTGATTCTCTCAAATCTGTAAAAAAAAATTACATCAAAATTACAAGGCTACGGAACATTAGCAGTAAACCCAAAATTGGATCGGCTGTTCAATGACGGCAATAAAATAAAAATGAATAAAATATATTCTTGTCCAATCCTTGAATGTGCCTAGTATTAGAGCATGATTATGCTTAACTTTTAGACATCATTGTAGTTCAACTTTCGAAAAAAATTCTGCCGACTTTAATCATGGATCACTTTGAAAAAAACTCTTCTAGAATGATAGTACAATTAAGTCATGCTTATCATCAATTCTATTGATTCACAGTTGATTTGAAGGATCTTCTGCCGACACTAAGAGGTATGGGTGCTCTGGAAATGGTGGACATCGTGAAAGAAGTGGGAATGAAAAATGTCCTCCATTCTGGCAATTTCACAATTTTCTGTCCTCAAAATGCTGCCATGGAAACCTTTGTTGAAGATCAAGAATTAATTTCTGAAGTGAGTTCACTTTGTGGTATTGTCAGTCTAGCCACATTCCAAAAAAATTTAAAAACTAGTAGAAAAGGATGAGGGAAACAATATGTTTTAATCAATTAACATTGAAAAAAAAAAACTATTTGTAAATTTAAATATTCTTGTAGTAAAATAAATTCTTAAAATTGATGTGAAATGAAAGTCTGCAAAATTTACGACTAACTCAATAAACATTTGTCTTAATTTTTTTTAATTATTTCTCTCCTTTGATCTTTTTTTATTTCCATTTTATAAAGTTTTCTGCTATATAGATTGAGAAATATTTTTATATCTCAATTTTTGTATCTGTTCATAACGTTTAAAAGCACTAGGCTTGAAAATAACCACTCGCCACGTGGCGAGTCAACAGAAAAAGTGGTGGTTTAATTTAAATAAACAATTTGTTACTTTTTCTTATCGTTTTTTTAATAGTTTAATGATAAAAGTATGTCAATGCTGAAAGACTCTAGAAAACAGAATTTTCATAAAAATGCCAAAATATTCCCATTCAAAATTTTCATCCTTCAGAATCCATCAATTTGTGATGGAAAGTTTCAGATGGACGGAGAATTCTCTAACAATTCACATATTTCAAAGTTGTAATGTAAACGTCAAATGTCTTTTACTTCCCCGAATATTTTTAAATAAAGTTCATTAAACTCAGTACGTTTAATTAAGTTTTGTTACATATTTACATTATTTTTATTGTTGACCTAACTTTTTATAGCAGCAGATTATTTCTAATATAATTTCCTTCTCTTCGACAAATAACCTAATCCAAAGAAGAAGAAAAAGCTACTTTCTGTATATTTTGATTGTATATCAATGTTTCAGAATGAAGTCGTGAGAAATTATAATTTTAGAAGTCTTAAAAAGAAAACATTGAAGAATCTAATCAAGAAACACATGGTGAAAGGATTTTTGAAAATAGATGATTTCCACGACGAGCAGAAAATAGGAACAGAAGATGGCAACAATCAAACAAGAATCAACATCTATTATGTCCCTGAAAAGGTATTCATTTCAAATTTCCTAACAATTCAAATAACAGTAACAAAAGAAAATCGGCTATTTCATCATAGATTGGATTTCTGATCTATAAAAGAGATAGCGAATATTTGTCAGATTAACAGTTTATTCTTTACACTATGCAGCATAAATGTAGAGTAAGGGAGGAGGTACACTATTCACAGAAATTTTTCCGCACTTTCATGATAAGCTGGCATCTTTAGACTTAACCATCCTGTTCAGAAACGTAAATAGCGGAAAATTAAAATTTGAAGAAAAGTAATAGCAAAATTAGAATAATCTATGAGAAAAAAATTTGCTTAAATATTTAATCTAAAAAAAAACATAACAGGAGCCATTATAATCGACGTGTATATTTTTCTCTGTTCCATAAATATTAATCTATAATCGTGTGAAATTTTTCAAAACAATCCCCTATTTTTCTATTGCAGGTTGTCACAGTAAATTGTGTGCCTATAATAACAGCTGATTATTTTGCGAGAAATGGAATCATTCATTTAGTTGAGAAAGTTCTACCAAAACCTATCAAAACGGTCGCCGACATTATTGCGGGTGATTCTCAGTTCTCGGTCTTAAAAGGAAGTAAGTCTTAAAAGGAATTTGTTTTACGAGTTTGTGTATGTTACTTTGAATGTCTTTAAAAATAATTAAAACATCTGCTGGCATTGAACTAGTGTAAGATACCATGAAGTTATAATAATATCTTCACCAAAAAGTTTAGACGGGAAAGTCTAATTTGGACAAGTTGATTTTACTCCTGCTCAAATATTACTCTTATTTTTGTATAGTAAAAAAATATAAATGATATTTATTATAATTGATATCATAATTATATTTATACGAATGCTATAATTATTACTATTAATATTGTATTTCCATTATTTCAGTGTTGAGTCGCGCCGGGCTTGTACAAACATTAAGAAATCCAAACAAGACATTCACTGTATTTGCCCCATCGGATTCAGTATTTAAACGAGCACCACAATCTAAAGAAGAAAGAAAGAATGACAGATGCACATCAAGTACGTTAAATATCACATTTTGAAACAACTCAAAAACGATTTCTATTAACCGCTTCAACATTGATAGTAACTCCCTTTAACGGTAGATTCCAACCCCCTGTTTTTCAAACTAAATTTAGTGGTGGCAATTTCGAGTTAAAACTGAATGATTACTCTTTAGGAATGTAAAGAATTGTTACAGTAAGAAGACGATCTGGATTACTTGATTTATTCGTATACAACCATCTCAAATAAAATTTACCAGAATAAAAATTCTGTCCTACTTGACTTCTTAATGTTAGTTTTTTCATAACTTTTAGCTTTTACGATAACTTACTACATTATTCAATTTTTCTATCGCGTTGAATGCCATGGAGGTCACCGGTGACCGACACCGAGTTTGTTCGTTGCGCCAAGGGGGTCACCGGCGAAGCCAAGATTGTTAGAAACACATAATTGGAGTAAATTTTTAATTTTTTAATATTACGATCGTTACTAAAATGGTTTGAAGAAATTAATGCAATATCGAACACGCAAAAATAGTTTTATTTATATACACAGAGATGGCAACTTGCTCCGGACAACGAATAAATATTTTCAAGTGGTAGTTCAGTGATTCTTGGTTTAATCAATTCAATTTAGTAGATTTCTTGCCACCACTATTTCTTAGCAATTCTTAGGTTTATATTATTCACCATTTTTATTCAGGTATGTCATGTGAAACTTTTTAAAAAACCTTATTAAAATCTGTCTAATATTTGCAAATTTAGTTTGTATTTATTTACCGTTTGGCCAGACGGGCAAGCCATACGAATTTCGCGTGGCATTTAACGTTTTAATGCTCATGGGAAATCTATTACTTTAACTGTTAAAAAATCATTTTGGCAAAGAAGAAAGAAATAATAATAATTATGACCTAATTTTAGGATCAAATATATGTTCTAATATTAATGGGATTCATCAAACTCTAGTGACAAGTTTGCTTCGAACGGAAATTTCAAATTATTTAATCAAGATAGTGATAATTCAAATATAAATTCCGTGAATGACCAAAATCAACAGAATGTTGGCTTTCACCAGTGAATGTCAAGAATCGCATAGTCGCTTTGGAGAATGTCCGAAATATTTGTTATATCCGATTTGATATTAATTTATTCGTTGATATAATTATATTTATTCGATATTTTAACAATTGTTGATTGTAGATTAGGAGAAACACCAGTGTTTGGAGTACCGGTTAATTGCATACCGAGCAGTGATACTCGACCTTAAAAAATATTGATGTAGAACAATATTTTTTAAGGCAGTGACACTTAACTAGACCTAGTATATATTTTGCACATTTACCAAAGGGACTATGTGATTGTCAACATTCACCGGTGGAAGTCAACAATCACCCATTTCTGTCATTCACAGTCACATGTCCATATGAACTGCGAATACATGATGAACAATAAAGAAAAGTTCTGATAATGAAATAATTTTGATGAAAGTTTTTACTTTAGTAGAACAATAAGTTCTTTAAACCTAATATCTTAATAGGGCAAACATTCGTTTTACTTGTCAACTTTTTCCGATGATTTTTTTCCCAAGAGATAGTGAAACGAAACTTTATAGATAAGCATGAATTTTTCTACTACTTTAAATATAAAAATGAAATCTTACAAAAACTCCACATAATGTTTGCAGCTAATTATCCTAATAATGTGATTTAGTCATTAAACTTATTCTAAACATTGCCGTGAATCTCTCCATTTGGTTTATTCAACATTTTTAGAAGCTAGTATTTAATAATTTAGAAATGAAATTAATCCTAAATTGAAATACTTGGAAAAGTGTAATCACACAAATTTTAAAATGAAACAATGGACAATGCACGAAGTAATGCGTGCGAATATTTTTTAAAGGACTCATGAAACACCATATCATTGATCACGTGATTTGCTCTCAAGCTATCCCTCAGTTTGCGAAGAGCTCAAATTTGATTGGAGAACTCCTGAGCTTATCCAGAAGCGAAGATAATAAACTGTACGTTGATGACATCCAAATTGTGGTCAAAGATTTAATAGCCACAAATGGAGTAGTGCATGTCATTGATGGCCTGCTTTCAACAAAACAAGGTATATTTAAACATCTATACATTTTTGACATAAAAAAGAATAAAATCATAAGTTAAAATGCACAAAATGATGGAAAGTAAGCTGTTGTGTTTCTCAGGGGATAGAACGTACGTCTTCGAGCGAGAGTTGGTCAAGACGGATTTCGCACCTGACTAGCACCGACCACAGCGCGGATGTAAACTATCCTTAACCCCTTCAGGACAGGTGATTCAGGAAAGCATTCTTACAAAGTCAGAATAAAGATGGGGGGAAATTAAATGCGGTAGCTTAGTCAGATGTGGTCAAACAGACAAAGTTTGAGTTCACTTCATTAAATGTTAGTTTAATCACAAATTTTAGTTCCACGTCCAACTATACAATTTTCATTCTGAATTTAGCGATAAATTAAATAAATTACACTATTATAAACCAGCACATAAATAAACTGCCGAAGAATTGGTTGGTTATCAGTTTCATCTTTTTCCCTCGATTGATAACTTTTCATGCAGGCACAGATATGTGACAATCAGCGCGAAAGAGTTACTGGTAGACGGATTACTGCCAGTAAGGGGTTAGAATCCCCTTACCGGCGTGCTAACCACAGAAAGTTACCGTGATTTTCCTGAAAAGCAAATGTGTGTTAGTTCCATAAAAAATACACTCTACGAAGGCTAATTTGCTTCAATGGTTTATTTTATTTTACACGACACAATTATGGGGTTACGAGCACAGTAGACCGTAACCCTCTATGGGCTGTCATGCCACTGAGTTTTAGTTTTAGGAGAACTTTTTGATGGTACAAACCCATATTTGCGTTACATGGAGAGGAAAACCTTCCACGTTTAGCCTGAAAGCAAGGGAACTGTAACCCATGAGCCGCCTACCACTAAGGATATTTTACGTCAGACCTGTAGTCGGTGCAAGCCGAATGCAGGTTTCATATCAATCAGTCATTGCTGTGTTTCGACCCCAGTTCACCTCATTGGAAGGCGAACACTCTATCCCCTGAGCCATCACGGCTCTCGCATTTTCCGTACGGTTAGCACATTTGAACACTCTCGAACCATTATGATTGAAACCTAGTACATGAAAATTCGATCGTTAAATCAAACGTTTTTCAGGGTGTTTCGTTTACTTATTTTTTTGCGCACTCTGCACAATAGTTTTCTCATGTCACCTCTCAATAGATTTAAACTAGCTTTTAATATTATTATTCCAAATCAGAAATAATACAGGGTGTCTACTGGTCACGAAAATATTAGTAAAACTTTTTTTATTTGTCTGCCAGCTTATAAAGGACATTCAGCAATACCCCTAGTCAAATTTGGCTTTTCAACGGTCAACATATAAGGTAGACAAATAGTCATGTTTCAAAGGTTTTGCTCTCTTTTAGTATATAGGACATAGACTTAGAGGTTGGGCAGATCTGAGGAGCAAGGCACATCGACCAGAGGTCTACCGTTCTCAAACCCTAGATCATGATTAGCGGAATGACTTTATAGCTGAAAAAAAGTTCAGCTAACACCTGACAGGAATATCTTGTAGTTCCCAGGCCTTAACACAATGTTGTCCCAGATGCTCAAATCTTGGAGCAGAATAGACCTCTCACTCACAAAGAATATGTTGAAGTTTCCTCCTCAATATGACAACCACAACAAAGAGGATTCGGTGTAATACCCATAATGCGGAGATGTCTTCTGAGGGTGCAGTGACTAGTGAGAAGACCAAAGATCTTCCTCCAGCTATTCCTGGTAAGCTTAAGAAGTTTTTTTGACGTCACCCTATACATCAAAATCTTATAAAGTTTATAAAAACCGTTGAATTATATTCATTAATTTAATTAATTTTCAAAAAGTGCAACTCTTTAACCTTGTTACTCAATATAGACATTTTTGGCTCTTGTGCCAATAAACCTCAACCAATCATTCATTTCCTCCAATATTACTAAGAGAACTACTAAGAGAAATTTTCTTACGGATTAATTTTTTTTCTGCTACTCAGACTATTAATATTTCATTATTTTACTAGGTGGTTATAATTAATATTTTCCTATTTAGATTCCCATCGGGTCTATTCTGGTTGACGAAAGTCAATTGAACTTAGTATACACGTTATACAAATCATGGGGGGAAAAGAAATCTACAATAAATCAGATAAAAAAAAGTTGTACGTAAGAAAAAAAAAAAAAAAAAAAAAAAAAAAAAAAAAAAAAAAAAAAAAAAAAAAAAAAAA